GTAGGTCTACAGAAAGATGAATGCAGTCATAAAGTTGAGAGAGTGAACATTTAAATGTTGTCTTTTTCTCCCTGATGGAGGGAAGGATCCTTTTGGGTAGTAAACTGCTATGAACTATGGTGATATCTGAACAATATGCTTCTGCTATTATTCAGATATAGTCATTTGGTTCTAACCACAAACTCTTTATAGTGTCTTTATGAATGAAGAGATACATCTACACACATCATTTAAGATGATGTTACAAACATGAATAGTGATGCTGCAAAATGATCATCTGTATAAGTGACGTCATAGTGAATTGCCCAGCCCGGTTATCTTCTTTTTTCATGACATTAGCCAATTAATTATTCATTTATAAGGTTACATTTTGATGTTCTCCAGGCCTTGTTCCTTATGGATTCTCATCCGCTCTTTTGCTGCTGCATCTTTTTTGGACTGAATCTTTTCACAAGCTTGTTATGATTGATGACAGGTTCATTTCTGTGGAGTCAATCAGACTCTGTAAGTGACTGGTGTCGTGTAAAGCTTGGTTCGTTGCAACCTTCCACGTAACATTTACAGCCATCTTGATGCTCCCGTGCTTGTGCCCACTCCTTGACATGATAGAATTGTACAGCTGAAGGAACCTTGCACATTTATATTTAATCTCCTAACTCTCATGCTTAATGCATGAGGAGAATGGGAGACCCCGTCCACCTCCCTGCCCCCCTCCGGCTTCTCCCCACTTGGCTCTGCCCGCTGGGAGAGGGAAAGAGGGGGATTAGGGCAGGATTAAGTCTGCGGTGTGAATAGGAGCCACGAGACCGCCACAGTTATTCACTTCCCCCGTCACTCCCTCGCTCATCTTCCCCCTTACCTCATGAACTCCCTCTGTCTATATCATCGCCCTATTTCATGCCGTGGCACCTCCAAAAGCACACACACTTAACTTGTTATGTCGTAATTGTGAGGAACTCCTCATCTCGAACCTTAATATTATCTTCGACGTTTTTTTCTCAGTTAATAAATGTGGAGCATGTGCATGACGTAAATGATAACAAATACTCCTTCATCCAGGACATAGAGGTATCAGAACCACAGGTGTTTGACTACTCCGACAGCCCCAACCTTAACCCTTGGCGATGTCGAGATCTGTTTGTAACAACACAAGTCTTAAAGAGAGTTTGACAAGTTATTGTTTTTAGTATAAAATTCCCTGTTGATGTTTTCATCAACAGTTTCTGTGCTGAACTGAGGCGTAGGGATAATAACACCAAGAAAGAATTTTGTACTAAAATGGTGAAAATATAAATTTTGACGATACCCACTTGATCTATCTACTTCCCACTGCCTAAGCCCCACAAGCCTCATTTTTACACAGACTGTGGATTTTGTCCCAGATCACTTACATTCAGATAGCTTAAAGAAGGGATCTCTTGTTTTAAGATAGACTTGAAAAAGTGCCAACCTTTCCTTGAACTATATGTTTTAAAAGAACTGATGACAGCCGAGGCCAAAATACTTAAACTAGCAAAACATTTTATCCCAGGTTAAAAAAAACAAAAACAACAACTGTTCACAAGGATACCTGGGGTGGTAGAGAAGCTGATCTGAAAGCAGCCCATGATTTCCAAAATGATTGTTATCCCAACTTATTTGGTCAAATTTTCTCAGACCTCAGTGAGCTTATCGAAAAGGAGCTCTTACTAATTGATCATATGCTGTGTGTGTTTTTTTTTTACACTATCGTCTCTGGGTGCATTTTTCACAAACTTTTCCCCAGGTCCTGATCGGCTCAGCAGTTTAGCACATTAGTTTTCTGTCTCTGTGTGGATTCTGGTGAATGTGTTAAATGGATGCAGGGTGGGAGCTTCATCATCCCTGGCTTGTTACTCTTCCATCACACAGAAATCAATAAGTATTTACCTGTGATAAAATTAGTCATCACTTTCTGTCCCCCCTCTTGCTATTTCTGTCTCTTTTTATTCACATAGAAACACACCAAACTAGTAGTGAAGAGTGTTGGTCACCAGAAAGCATCAGGAATGAGAGCATTGAAATTCTACTTTAAATGTGTGATTGCATGTGATTTAGTCAATAGCACCAAGAGTCCAGGACTAGGTGTTGCCTGCGGTTCAATAAGTCACACACACAATGCATTACATTGCCGCACGTAATGGGAAAAGGATTTCACTTAAATACTCCTTTAGTCACAACTTAAAAACTAACATCAGAGTCATTATGTGTGTGGGAAGGTTACAATAGTACACTTAAATTACAATCCCACTGTTTAAGTGTTGCTAATAGCAGTGTTATCATTTGTAATATGTGGGTAACAGAGAGAAACAGAGGAACACAGAATGTATCAATATTTAAGTGGAATACTACATTAGTATAGGGATGTGTGCAATGGAGAAAGAAGGCATCGGATGCATTAATGTTTAAAGTTTATGGCTGTTAAATGTACTTCGGTTTTATAGTGAAGCATTTTCAGATTTTAAGTGTATGTGAGGGTGCGTGTTTGAAACTGTACAGCTATTCTGCTCCTGAACATGTGACAAATGGTTCAAATTAGCACATGTAAGCAAAATACGAGCAGAAATGACAAATGAGAAGCAATATTTACAACAATATAGCTACATTTAAACACATAACCATCCATGAAATTCATGACAGCTCAGACAGAAAAACACACATGTTCAGTTCAGTTTGCTTTAGGTACATCTGTATTTGTTTTTAAAAGTGTAAGCACGTTTTGATTTTCTCATACTGTTCAATTCTGCATAAGACCTGTACACGGCTATATGTTTTAAACACAGCCTAAGAGTCCGTGGTGCAGTCCGGTGTACATGAACACATGCAGCTGAGTGTTCCCCTGTAATATGCCACACATTAAGAACAAGCCACTGAACTTCTTCAACTCCACCCACCAATACTGCGTTTCCCTGTGGGTTTGTGCATCGTCGGGGGGTCATACAATACAACAGGCCTATTAGAAGAGAGCACTGAGAGGGCAGCACCCCCAGACTTGACATCTTTAATATTTCATGTTGGCACCATGGTTCTCAGCTAGCTCCCAAGCTTCAGTTTGGCTTGATGCGGTGTTGCGTGTGCAACTGTTGGTGTTTGCATTTAAGCGAGTGTTTATGTGTGTGTGTGGATGGTCAGCGCTATCTGATGTGGCAATGGAGGAGGTGTGCTGTAGGCTCGCTCGGTGTCGCAGGAGGACATCTTCTCTCACTTTGACATTGCCTCGATCCAAACTGGTAAGACTTGAGAATTAGAGGTTTGGCTTTCTTCTAGAGCAGAGGGGGCACCAACTGCATTTGTCCACCTGCCCAGGAAATAGAGGTGAAATCTTGCTGCCTCGCTTTAGAGGAAATTCCATGTGTTTTTAAACCTTCAATCTGTCTAAAAGTACTATTTGCAGTGGCAACCTTTGGAAAAATACCTCTTTCACTTATCCTTTCATCTGCATCTGTCCTGTATGGGCGCAATAGACCAGTTCTTTTTTTTTCATTGCTGCACAGTTGTGAAAAATGCAAGTATTATAATGATGAAGCTTTCCGACCTTATTTTGACAAATTTGGGTGTCTGGATTTGACATTTGGTTGATCTGCGTCTAGGATAAATGTGCTTCAACACTGCATCTCTGAGGACTGTGTCAGGTGTATGCTATTTTTTGTTGGAGCTCTCTTTATTTTAAGTGGAGGATTTTCTAGGTTGTGTATATTTCTACTGAGGTATACTGTGCTGCATATTTAGGGCTTCTTTTATATGCAAGGAGGTGCAGTGATTTCATTTACCAATAATTAATAAGGGGTCAATTAATTGAAGGCCTAAATCAGTCTGTTGATTAAAAACAAAGATAATGTCTTTATTGTAGGTTAGATGCACCATCTTTCAGTGTATACACCCTCTCTTACTCTCTTTCTCTCTCACACAAATAACCAGCAACATCTCTGTAGCAGAGAGATTGTAGACTGTAGCAACGGTCTATTACCAAGCTAAAAACTAGAACAGTTTAAGCAGCAAACACAAAATTTAAGGCCTGTTGTGTTGGAATTATTAGCCAGAATTACAAATCCCTAAACTAGTCTTACTGTTTAAACTGGACTTTAAAAATCAGTAATAGTACAATTGTAACGACGTGACTGTTTGTGTGTGTGCTGTGATTCTAGTTTAAATGGATGTTGGAAAGTTGTGTGACATTAGTTTAAAGGTTACACATCGATCTGGCGACTACATGTCTGGAAGTTTTTGTACAAGTTGTCGTCTTGCACAGTTAAAAGTACACTTGCTGCAGTGCTCAGCAGCTCAGGTTTTTAGAAGTCCATTGACTTCCTTATCGACAACTTTGTCTCACTCTGAATCTGAGGGGTGTATTTGAGTGTGAGCAGTCTTCGGAAAAGGTGATAACAAAATACAAACGTATAGATTTTGTTTATATCGATGCTTAAATTTAGCTTTGTGCAAACTGTCTTCCCATCCTGAAGTTCATAAATTGACCGCCATGAATAGATTTGTCTAAAGAATGTAGTTTGTTTGTGGTCTGCTTGAGTTGGCATAAAGATATTTCTGTCATTGGATGTACTTCTAAATGAGTTTGAGTCTTCTTGGAGGAGCAGACCCTGTGTGGGTGTGTGTGTGTGTACAGTAGCTGATGATGTAAACTTTCTGCATAAAAAAGAAATGCCGGTGTAACAGGACAGCTTCTACCTCCAACCCTCACTATCAGAAACCATATCAAGCTCCAGCCCTAGATCATAATTTACAGCTGTCTGAAGTGTCTTCAGCTCCATCTTCTTCATGTTAATTATCTTGGAGTCTAACATGTCAGTGCCAAAGCAGCCCTTGCTTTCAAGCTGATGAAACAGTTCAATGTGTGTGTGTGTGTGTGTATGTGTATGTATTTGTGTTTGGGAGCCTGTTTGTTTGCCTCTGTTGAACTCATATCCTCTTCATCTTCTCTGTGTCTCTCCCTCTGTCTCTCTGCTACTTCCTGTCTGTCTGAACAGCTTCCTGCTGACCTCAATAAGATGCACCTAACAGACCACGCCCACCAGCAGGTGATGCACATGCCTCCCAGCCAATCAGGATGCAGCATCGCCAGTGACTCGGGGAGCAGCAGCCTATCAGATATTTACCAGGTGGGAACCAAACCTCATTTCTTGTTTAATTTATTTTCCCGATTTATTTTTTATCTATTTCTTTTTTACCCTTTTTTTTTAGACTTTAGACACAAGCAGCTGACAAATCCTTCTGAAACAAATCTCTATGTAGTTTGCTGATCTCCTAAAGCTCCAGATTTTTTTTTAGGTTTATAGTTTGTTTACTATCAAAGTTTGGATTTTCAGTCTTTGCCCCTGTGCCACATATTTAAAGGTGGCCTCCTATCAGAAGAAGTTCATTGTTTAACATTGGTATAATCTAAAATATAGAGAATACAGGTTGTGGAAGTGTAGTGCTTCATCACTTTTTTAGGCTACCTCTTGTTAGCTTTTCTCTTCCCTGCCACCGTTATTACATTACATACACACAAAAAAAAATGTAGCCCATCCAATCCAGTGACAACCACATGTGTAGTGTAGCCCCTCCACCACCACACTGTGACAACATCTGGTCGCTGGCATCCGCTGACGGTGGATTCTCTCCGCCTTGGCGTGCTCCAATTCTGTCTGTCTACCTGTAGCATATCTGTCAGCCCACTACCCTCCCTCCTTGTGTGTTTTTCCCCCTCCTTGGTATCTAGCTAATTATTGTGCATCAGTTGTGCATCCCGGTGATCTGTCTCCCTCTGTACTTCCTGCTGCGGAGGAAAGGTCACATACAGGAAATGAACCTAACCTTTCAATCTACCTGTGCTACAGGTAAAGAAGCTGTAACATCATCAGTGCAGCTGGATTTATAACAATCACTTTGCTTTCTTAGGTAGTATGTAGTGAAGAATGGCAGGGTAATTGAGAGAGTATGACGTCCATTGTACATCAGTTATGCAGTTAATGTTGCTCATGATGTTCAGTTTAAGTTTCACTAAACGGGATTATCAGGAATCCTTGAGCATTAATCTCTCCAGCAAACAACAGTAAGAGAATAATTACATTACACATTAGTCATGATTCCACATTTTCTCCCATTCAGTTTTTGGCATTACAAAATATCACATAAAACAAGCAAACACACACGCTCTCTGTCAATGAAAGCACTGAAAACATGTGCACCTTTGAACTGGTCTTATTTTAATATAAAGTCATTTATTTTGAAATCAGTTTTGCTGCTTTTCTTACTGACGGTTGCTTTTGATGACAGCAAACTTGGAGGCTTATTCCGTGGTTTCATTTATTGCAATCACCCATCTTAATGCTCAAAGTGCAAAATGAAGTAAGTTCAAAAGTATTGCCAGACTAGGAGGACTTTATACTTTACTTGCCACTGGTATCAGCCACAGCCTTTAGGTGACATTTCTGAACATTCAATAGCTCAGTGTGCTTTGGAATTAATTGCCTCTCTTGAGTGTAGGAGTATTTAAACGGCTGCGAATCAATAATCCATAAAAGGGAACATGACATGGTTGTCATTTTACCATTTTAATCCCTCATCTCTCCTAATCTCCCCTCTTTACACAGAAAGTTGTTATGAATCCAAGAACCTTTCAATATTACTTCTCAGCCTGTCTGTTCCTCTACACAGCCTGCGCGCCTTATTCTGCACAATATTCTGCACAATATTCTGCACATGTGGTTTTATATATAGGTGGGATGTGCTCCTTTGACACCGGTGAGGTCCGTTAGACACAAACTACTAATGAGTTTGTTACAAGTTAATGAGCTGGGCTGATCAATGGGCACTGCTGGTCGCTAATGAGTGAATTTGTTATAGCGAGGCATGATAACAATGCTAATATCTTCAGTTTTGGAGGTTTGGTATATTATTTTACCCATTTTGGTAAGTCGAGGGTGAGAAAAACCAACCACATGTCGAGTGCAGGTACATTTTTCTTCATACAACTCCTACCTAAGCAAACTTGAAGTCTCTTTTAAAAATGTATTGCATGTTGCATATTTAATGTGAATTATCCCAAACAAATGTTCAACAAATTATGAAACAGGAGAAATTAACATGCAAGAGAGAAGGCAATGCACAAATTAGACATTTTGAGATCTTTAAATGTGTTAAATAGCTTGATTTTGTCGGCTCAGCAGTGATTGAATGAGTTATACAGTTGTATAAGAGGTTTTCTTAATCAGTATTACTGGATGCTTCTCACATTTGTCTGGACCTCTAAAAATATAAAGTCCAGTAAGTGGCTCTTGAGAGAAACAGAAAATCAATTTGAAAAAATAACAAACTGCTTCATTGCTGTACTTTTGTCTTGTGTCGTTGTGGAGCTGAACAGAAATATACTGTAAGATAACTTCAAATACATCTTTTAATTTTGCATCTTCTCTCTGTCTCTGTCTCCCACTGCTTAGACCTGACTTTAGAGTATCTCCTCCTCTGTCTGTCTGATGAAACAGTACCACAGATTTTACTCCTGCTCCTCTCCAGATGTTAAATTTCAGGTGTAATTTCCTCTGCTGCAGTGGTCAGTCAGCAGAGATAAATCATTTGCAGCGGCTATTTGTCTAAATGTCTGTTCCCTCCTCCCACATTTTGACCCTTTCATCAGGAAGTTTTTGCACGAGCCTAAACACAGAATATATTTTACTGCCACTTTTCTAATGTTTAACCTGTGAAAAGCCCTGTTGTGATCCCTTAGTAAATATGCAGAAACACAATTCTTTCTGTTTAGTGCCTAAAGAAGTTCTGAGAATCCTTTGTAAATACTCTCAGGGGGCTGTAGTGGTGCATGTAGATTGGATAAAGGACTAGAAATAACAAACCAGTTAGCTCAAAAGTAATAGTGCAAGAGCCTGATGAATTACGGAGTGTATTAGTCATTGTAGCAGAATTTCGTCACCTATGCTTTGAATAGAAAACAGACTAAAATGGTATAAATCAGATATTTAAACCTCCTTCCCTCCTGCCCATAATTGTGCTGTCTGCCAGAGTCCTCCCTCTTCAGCCTGTGTGCGAGTGTTTGAAAATGAATGTAAGTCAGGTCAACCTGTGTCAGACGTTAAACGCAGAGACCTGATCTCTTCATCCTGAGATTAGATATTTATCACATGGCTCTGATCCCATCAGCTTGTCACTGACCCGGCTCTGTGTTTGTTTACAGCTGTCTTAAAGTGCTGACCCTCAAGTCACTGTGCTCCTCAGCTGTCAATACAACAGTCTGTTTCTCTTGTGGGCTTCTCCCACTAATCCCCCATCACCACCACCACCACTCCCTCTCATACCTTGACTTAACCCACAGTTGTTCCTTTTACTCTGTCTCACCAACTTTTCAACCCTTTCTGATTCCTCCTGTTCTCACTTCTCATATTCCTCCTCTCTGCGCTTTCTTTCCTTTCCATCCATCTGCTGTCAGTCACTCTCTCTTCTTTTATTATTCTGTATCCCTTCCACATCACTCTGTTCCTTTCTTAGCTTTTTCCTCCTTTCTTTCATCTCTTGGCTACAGTATAACCCGAACCTCTGTACATTCCTCCCTCTACTTTTCTCTTTCTGTCCCTGGTCTTTAAGAAATGTCGTCCTGGCTCAAACTTCTGAGTCCAGGGGAATTGGACTGAAAGGGCACATCCTGCATTCTGAATGAACTGGGCTTTCAGAGGCACTGAAAGATATTTCAGGGGCTGTGGGTGAGAGGGAAAGAGAGTGAGACTATAGTGAGGTGGTATTGCCCCAGGACTGCACCACTGTTCTTTCTTACTGCGTCAATGCCTCCATTTTCCAACAAAGTTTAAATTGAAAGCCACTCTTCTGCTAGGATTTAACAGTATCCATAACTGGAACCTCTGTCTGACAATATGGTGTGTTTTTTTCTTGTAATCGGCAACTATAAAACATACCACTGCACTTTTGGCCTTTGTCTTTTTCTGCACACTGCTCGCCCAGTGAATACATGAGATACATTTTCTAAGAATCGATAAATCAGAGGTGAAGCAAAAGAAAAATATACATTTTTGTTGAACTAGCACTTGTAGAACACCTGCAGAACAACTTGCCAGACAAGCTGTTGTTCAGATGTGAGGTCTGAGTGTCTCGTGGGCTGGTTAATAAATATGTTGCATTTATTCCTTACATGTGATTCGACTTTATGCTGCTTTTGCATCTTGCTCCACAACGTTCAATGAATTAAATCCACACAGGTTGTTCTGTATTATTTATTATGTTGTCATTTATCATTAGTGTAATGGGAAAAAGACATTAGTGAAGAAAATAAAATCAGAACTTATAAGGAAATTATTTTTGAACTTGTCTGGGCTTGTCTGTTCTGATCTCTTAGGCCAAATTAAATGTATCTGGTGCAGAGTGGAACAGAACTGAGCAGCTGGTGTGTTTTAAAAGTCCTCTAAATAACTTGTCCAACCTAATTTGTGAAAACAAGAGTGGACCTGTACCTGAATTTGGGATTGACTGTTGACTTAATCCCCTTGCCTCGGAGAAACCTATAAAACCTTTTGGCCTGGTACCAAATCTCCAAAGAACCAAAAGCTCAATTGCATCGTTTGTTTGGAGGTTCATCTTGTAGTGTATCGGGCAGAAAATTAACCTTTCCCCTCCAGCTACAGCAACTAATGTATACCAGTCAAATGTACTCCAATCCACTCATTCACTACTTCCAAAATGTAGTTACATTTGGTCCCTACAGGATAATGTTCCTGGGAGTGTAGATTAGATACTGGTTTCATTTTCAGCATGGCCAAATACTATCATTTGTCCTTCAGCAACAGATAATGTCCATGTACACGACATGCATTCTGTAGCAGATTTGTTCTTGTGAGACTTAGCAATAAATATATATATTGCAGTACATAACTTCCTTCCTTCCTTCCTTCCTTTCCCTCTTACCTTTTCCCTCAATCAGATACTAATCTGTTAGCGACTTCTCTATCTGGCTTCTCAACAATTAAATAAATTAAATCGCTAACAGATGGTCTGCAATGCTGCCATTACCACTGGAAAGCTCCTCTTCTCACCTCTCGGTTGATGGTTCAATTCCCAGCTGACCTGAAAGCCCCTATGCCCTTTTAGAACCAGACTCTGCCAACCATCTGTCTGCCACGCACAGGGGAAATATGGTGGAAAATGAATTATTACTGCCGGATTTAAATATTTGGCTGTTCACCTCTGTTTTTCTAGTTTGGGACCTGGTGTCTGGGTTTGTAGCTCAGGGGTCACAGATACAGCTGCTCACTCCAAGGTTATTCCTCACGTTTTGTGGGGAGGATGCATCACTGCAAATCCCCACACATAAAATAAAGGAATAGAGCTGTAAAGTTAGAGAGAGTTAGATAGATCCTTTTTTTTTCAGAATATGATATTACTCACTCACTCAAAAGAGTACATACTGCAAAATCTTTAACGCTAGATTCCTAACTGACATTACTAGTTGCCAGGAACTAAAGTTATAGGAAGTATTTGATGAATAACAGTCATTTGAATTTGCTTTTTACTGTACTCAGAATTGCTTTTACACAACTGCTTGTTGTCCTCTGTTGTCACATAGAATTGATCAATGTGCCAATGTCTAAACTGTCTTGTAATAGTATTGAATACTCTCAAACTTAATTTTAGTGTGGTCTGAATAAAATCTCTGTCGTCACAAAATTTTGTCCTGCCCGAAACTAAATACCACAGTGCAGAACTTCCACTTTTGCACTGCAAACCAGATTACTGCTCTAGCATTAATTTCTAGGTCACATTATTCCTGGAATTGACGCTTCAGATAGCTCTTTTTGAGTCAAGCAAGATAAACCCCAAGGCAAATGAAACCCAGTCTGAAATTATGAAAATTCATGAAAATCCATAAATTGCAGTTTTTCATAGATAATACATAAAAAGCTGAATTATTTTATTCTAAACATTGTCATTCAAATCAGTCTCAATCCCTCACAGACGTCCTCCTTCTCCTCTGCTACTGTTACTTACAAGCCACTGTACCGCCTTCTCCATTGTCTTTGCTCCAGGCTACAGAGAGTGACCTGGGAGATGTGGACCTGTCTGGACTTCCAGAGGCTGCAGTGGACAGCGAGGAAGAGGAAGAGGAAGATGAGGACCTGGAGAGAGCTTCAGACACTCTTCTGGGGCGAGATCTAGTCCGAGAGTGTCTGGAAAAAGACCCAGCCGACCGCAACGATGACGATATTGGTCAGTCGAACTCTGCACTGCTCATAGTCAAGCCTTTGTTTAATATGTTGTTGTCTTCCATCAAAACTTTATTTAAATTTGTAAAAAAACAAACTTTTTGCTCCTTACTCAGCTGATCAATAGCACACATGTCGATTTAAAACTGGCTGAACTGAAATGAAAAGGGGGATTTAGATGCATGTCACATCCTTCTTTGGTGGACTTGAGGACTGCCGGTTTCTATTTTTGGTCTTGATGTTCATGAGATACAGCCCTCTCAGACGCCATCTATCATTCAGTAAGCACACACAGGGGAGATGCACAAATGCCCCGCTCACAAAAAGACACCTCACAGTGGTCTCTAAACACCAGTGCCCTTTCAGCGTGTATTTTTAAGCAGGCAATCAGACAGACGACCCCATTAGCGGGACCCAGTGGGGACCTGGAGGAGAAGGTGACCACATTAGAGAGCTGAGAGGAGTTGTAAAGGCCTGGCCTGCTGTGTGCCTGCTGGGAGGCTGGCCTTCTGCACTCACTGGTTACACTCACAGCTCATTCAGAGGAAAGAGTGAGAGAGGAGTTTGGGGGAGGACATGTCTGACCCAAATTCAACCCTGGCTCACATAGTATCTAAAAAATTTACATAACTTAAATACATTTTTCTTCATTAATAAAGCTCACTTGAGTTCAGTTTAGCTAATTTTAATTACATTTTATTCAACCATCTTGTTTTTTGTGTGTCCTATCCAGAAACTTTCTCTTAAATCTTTGGGCAGAGATATTCTCATTCAAGTTGTCAACGGCGGTGATGCTTTTGCCCAGTGGTCTCGAACCTAGAGGCTGGAACCCACCCCCAAGGGGGTTGCCTTATAGATCTGAGGTTAAAAGAATAATGATAAAAACACTGAAAAAAATAATTAAATAAAGAATAAATAATACGTCTTAAGTTATCTGCTAACAGCCTATAAAGATATGCCAACCGACGAGGGGTCGCACGTTGACATGGATTTGTTTTAAGGGGTCACAAGCCATAAAGGTTGGGAGACACGCTTTAACCTATCTTGAATACTGTCATCAAATTATTCATAACTGGATTACCACTTCTAATTGATATAGATTCCATTACTGCCTGAGTAAGAACGTTGCACTAACTAAAATGCTAAGAATTACTTGGAATACGATGACTGTTACAACCATTTTTTTAAAGACCAAAGGCAAGAAGGAAAGAGACGGGAGTGGAAGCACAAAAATGACAGAGGCAATAACAGCAGGGGCAATGAAGGGGAGCTACTGAGCCAGCCTGCGTGGTGTGCACTGCAGGCTGGAGCGAGGTCACTCTGTTCTCAGCCACAGTGCAGAGGAGGAAGACAGATGAAAAGTAGGGAGGGAGCAGAATGTGAAAATATTTCAGTTGCCGTGAAAAGTCTTTTCATTTACTTTAAAACGCCTCAAAATTGTTATTGGCATCCTTTACCTGGGTGAAAACACTTGAGATATTAGGTGATTTGTTGTGCTGCATTTGTGAGATTTAGTATTCTTTATATAATAAGGATGTTTGCTCTGATTTATAGCAGGTTACCAGTTGCTAGAAAAATAGATATAGATTGATGATAAAGAGTATTACCAGAGCTTAAAAGCCTTGTGACTACAATTTTCACATTTTATAAAAATGTTTTTTTTCTTTCTATTTGAACTGTCGGTACCCCTGGTGATTTATGCGAATAAGGCTTTCAGAAGCGGGCATAATTTGTTTCAGGAACGCTGCTATTTGTCAGTGGAAAAATCAACGTATACTGTTTTCCTGTACACACCAGTACATGCTCTTTTCATATATCACAAGAACTTACTTTTTTCTTTTCTTTTTTCTTTTGCTTTCTTCTCTCCCCTTCTTCCTTTTTGTGCCAAATAGAGCAACTACTGGAATTCATGCACCAGCTGCCGGCCTTCGCCAACATGACCATGTCTGTGCGGAGGGATTTGTGTAGTGTCATGGTGTTTGAGGTGGTGGAGCAGGCTGGCACAGTCATACTGCACGATAAACAAGAGGTATGATTAGACCTTAGCACAGAAGTTGTAACAGTTGTATGAAAGTCTGATAAAAGTTTTGAAATGAATGTTTTAAAAAATATTGTTTATGCAGAAATTTGAAATGATTTTTTCATGTTGTCCAGCTCTTTTCCTGCATGTCCCACTTAGACTAATCATTAACAGGGTAATTATGATATACAAAATATGTTTGTTTAGTTTTTTTTTATTATATCTGCTTCATTAAGGCAATTACAAAGAATTCCGTTAACAATTAGATTAGTGTTTATCTTTATTCATTCAGAAACAAATGGGGCTGCTGGCTTGCTGATTCTTCATTTGATCATTAATATAATTACAGTTAAAACATCTTATATTTGTCTTCCTGTAATCTGCAAAACAGTGATGTAACCTTTAAAAAAAAAAAAACACAAGCACAAAAACATGAAGCGGGCCATAATAGCTCAGCATTGATGAACTTTCAAATGTACGTAAAATACAAAGCACACAAAAGATATGGAAGAAGGAACACACAAAAATGCCCACAAGAGCTTAGAACAATACACTGGGAAAAAAAAGAGCACATACATGTATCATCACATTTTCCCATTAGCACAGACACACACATCCTCACCATCTTCCAGTCTACCCGAAGCCAACTCACATACAGAAACTGGTATGTGCAAAGTCACAGCAGAGCGAAAGCCCCGTCAATCAATTGAGCTGCTACACAGCTAATTAATTAAGTTACATGCCTGAGAAATGGGCGCTCTGTCATGGCTGTTTGGTTACACGCAGCAGCATTAGAACCGACAGGCTGATAAATGGCAAAGAACTGCCAGCCGCCAAGCTCCATACACACACAAGTTTACACAAAGTATCCATGGATCGTCAATACACAACGCATGCGCGCATGTGTACCTCGAGTCAGTTGAAGGACAGATCTCCTCCACGCCGCTGTCTCTCTGTGGACTCATGTTGAAGGTCAAAGAGAAGCACTTGGCTTCCTCTCACAAGTGAGCATGAATCTGCTAAGTGAGTGAGGGAAGGGAAAATAAAAACTCTAAAGTGGTCTAACAGAAGTAAAAAAAAAAAAAAAAGGTAAAGTGCTTCTTAGGATGGAATTGAAGAGAAAGAGGTAGCCAACAAGGGACCATCAGAGAAGAGTGAAACCAGCAAGTTTCTTTACTTGCCATTTGATTATTTTGAAGACTAAGACTAACTTCACAAATAATGGTTTACCTATCTCTGCAGGCCTCCATAAATACTCATGATATAAATTCAAAGCATATATGCTATAAAAAGCTATATTAATATAAACAGTTATATTCATGCAAACTTTATGAAAATAGCCTCCGGTGGACATTAGTGTACAAAACGTAGGAGGTTGATTACTTTACCTCACCTCACTTATTACCATTTCATCGTTGCTGAGGGAGAAGTAGACTGACAGGCTGAGTGGGGAACACAAAGAGAGAGTAATGGGGAGAGAAAGTGAGACGCAACTAGAGAGTCTGATATTTTCTTGGTGAGAAACAGTGAGAGGATGAAAAGGCAATGAGGAGGAAATCTCAGTTATAGTTGCGGAGAGAGCCCAGGGCTCGTTCACCCTCCCTCCATCCGCTTACACTCCAGATGAATGACTTGTTATATTATGCCTGCCAGCACCTCCTTTTCAAAAGCCACCGCTAGAGACACAATACCTCCTTGCCACCGCAGTCATACCTCACACAACACACTTTATGCTCACAATATACTAAATGTCAGTTGGTAAAATATAGCCATTTCTAACAGTCATTCTTGTGCAGCTGTATCGGTCTGTTGAGTGGATGGTTGCACTACCTGTAAAGCCTCAGATGTCTTGCATTACGCTGCTATCCAGTGTGCTCTTTGAAATATAATTAATTTCTCATCCACAGTCAAATCATTTTAAATTTGATGATGTTGTTTGTGTGTCAACCCCAGTTGCATCGACAGCTACAGAGCAGTTTCAACACTACAAGATATTCAAGCACACATGGATGTACAAAATATTGAGTTAGCGATGGAAAACAGCATGAAAAGAAAGCAATTACAATATACACAAGAGAGCATTGATATTGGTGGTAGCATCTCTCCAAAGCAAAAATGTTTGATTGTGTATGTCTCATTATTTTCATGCTGTCATCTCCATGCACCTGTCTGCAGCTGGACCACTGGTATGTTATCCTGAATGGGGCGGTTGAGATCAGTCACCCAGAAGGAAAAGTGGAAACTCTTTGTATGGGCAACAGTTTCGGGATCTCACCCTCGCTGGACAAACAGTACATGAACGGAGAAGTTCGCACCAAGGGAGACGACTGTCAGGTAAAAAAAAAAAGAAAACTCTTGAACTTGCTACAAGAAGCTTATGTGTATTTACAGCCTCAGTATATTTGTTAAGGAATGCATTGTGACAAGCTGTTGTTATTGTAGCTAAGAAAAAGACTTGATGACTGATACATTTCTGACAAAGACAAAAGTTTTGTTGCACTGACATATCGTCGACTCCAGTGTGTGTCATGGTGCAACTAGAAACAATGTTGAATTTATTTTGTAAGCGAAAATAGCGTGGTGTTTCCACTGTTCCCAAAACAGTCATGTCTTGATAATCACAAGAAGGATGTGTGTTTTGTTTTTAGTCTTGCCCTGCTTTACCCCATTATGCAATATTTGCTTCAAAAGAATAGCAAAGTAAAGCCATGTGCTCATTTCTTCTTTTTACTATGGACTAGAGGTTTGCAGAGAGTTTCATTTTTGTTTTTCTGTCATTTGTTATGAAAGCTGAAATTTGGTGAGCAATGATAGCATTGCTTTTGGATACCTTTTAAAATACAGAATCTCGCCTACCAATTAAGTCACAGGCCTATTGCACATTTTCATTAAATGCTGTATTTCTCAAATCATGTTTACTAATAGTCTTACAGGTTTCTCACAGAAAGCTAGTCTTAATATAGAGATGTTTGGTGTTTAAGTTCATAAGGTAAAAAAAAAAAAAAAAAAAAAGCCTAGCTTGTACTTATGGTAACTCTGTCTCTCAGTCCAAAGTGCCCAGTTCCTCCAACACAGACATTATTTCCTGTCTTAAGATACACAGGAAGTTGCAGAGTTCGAGCTTAACAAGGCAAATGCAGAAATTGATGATTTAGTCTGGGGAAGCACAGCAAGTAACAATGCTGTAGGGTAGCGAAGAGTCATGTCCTTACGCGTTCTCTTCAATGTGATACAATGGGAAGTTCGTTTAACTCCAGTGATATATTTTATTAAAGGATGCTTTTCTGAGAAATGGCTAGTTGAGAGGATTTTGGACCACCGTAGGTACTTATGTCGAACCTTATTTAATGAAGTTTAGTTAGAGTGAGAAATAGTCTTGCTGGACCTTCCTCCCTTCGTCCGTCACTCCATCCCATGTCTCTCTCTGCCCACCCTCATGTTTCCTCTGTGCTGTTGTTTGAGTACCCAAATGTGGTGCAGAGCAGTGTTCTGCTCTACTACAAGTTCACCCGCTGTCCCCATGTCATCCTCGACCAGTTCGTCTGCATCGCCCAGGAGGACTACTGGCGGATCCTCAACCATGTGGAGAAGAACACGCACAAGGTGGAAGAGGAGGGGGAGATTGTGATGGTGAAGGAGCACCGGGAGCTTGACCGCAGTGGGACCAGGAAGGGACACATTGTCATCAAGGTCAGTGATTTTCAAGTGTTGTGTTGTTAGATTTTAAGGACCCGTCTGGAGATCGATCAAGTGTTCAAGAAAGCATTTTGCTTCTCTGAAGTGTGAAGGGGTGAAGGGATGCAGGGTGGCTTGGAGTTCATAAGGTGACGTCAGGCTGGTGTTTCACCCAGAGCTCAACCTTTTGTTAACTGACTTGATATAGAAATACATTTAACCTTGTTCAAGAACAAATCCTAACAGAGATGAGAAAGGGAAGGTTTAATGTCCAAGATTAAGGTTAAGATGCATGCCAATAAGATAATAAGCATTTTAATCTCACCCTAAGCTTCGTCAAACATGACTAACATCTCAAATCAGAGAATCAAGTTATCGCCATTTTTTTCATTATTGAATTGAACTGATTTGAGTACCACCTCAATATGAATCGACCCTACCCTCACAGACAGTATCTTGTAAAAACATCAATGCAGCTGTCCTGTGTTCTTAGTTGATCATTGAGAGGCACTGTTAGCACTATTAGTGTTTGCCAGAGCGTTTTCTTGTCTGCTACATTGCAGTGCGCTCCAAGGCCTTTTGATCCTTTTCCTCAAGCCTCCCGAGGCAGCCAGGTATTGATCGGATAATGGGCCTGAATGATTCTTTTGGCCACCATTCCGGGGAAGGCGTTCGGCTCCAAAACACAGTGGAGATGAGTCAATTCACAAGTGTTAGCATTTCCGCTTCTGTTTTTGGCTTTGTTCTTTTTGTGTCAGACAAAAGTGGATGGCTTTCTAGTTTCTCTTCCCTGTCAGATGAATCGTTTCCCCCAGAAACCTCTGCTCTGGTGACATTAACAAACTCACTGAAAACAGAACAGTGGAGTTTATGTCTGGACGTTGTATATCCACTAATCAATTACAATTCTTAGACATAGAAATCAAGAATTTAGTCCCTGATATTACATGAATTCAGTCTCATACAAATCCACGGCAACGAAACCTCTGCAACAAAGTGTGAGTGTGCTCTTGTCGAAGAACTGTTCTCTGTGTGTGTGTGTGTGTGTGTGTGTGTGTGTGTGTGTGTGTGTGTGTGTGTGTGTGTGTGTGTGTGTGTGTGTGTGTGTGTGTGTGTGTGTGTGTGTGTGTGTGTGTGTGTGTGTATGCGTGTGCGTGTGCGTGTTTGTGTGTCTTTGTTTTATTGATTGGTGACTGACACTTTAGTTCAGTAGCTGGATCTTAGGTTCCTTGTCACTTTTATGATTAATGTCGATATAATTTATTCAAATTGGAGTGTGAATGTGCTCTTGTGCCTGCTGGCTTCCATGCGTACTTGTGTGTGTGTCGGTGTGTGTGTTTTTGCCCTTGTGCCATTTCAGCTGACTTACATGTGCATGTATGAGTGTGCGCAGTATGTTTTTCTCTTGGTATCCTTATGTGTGTACGTGTGTTTATTATTCCCCCTAGGGAACCCCAGAGCGTCTGATCATGCACCTGGTGGAGGAACCGTCCGTGGTGGACCCCACCTACATCGAAGACTTCCTGTTGACCTACAGGACCTTCCTGTCAAGTCCCATGGAGGTCGGCAAGAAACTGCTGGAGTGGTTCCAGGTGGACAGCCTCCGGGACACGGTGAGTGTGTGCGTATGTGCATGTTCGATCCAATATGTGGGCGGATCTAAGAAAGAACACACAAATTTGTGTGTGTCTTCACAGGTGAAGTGTAATAAAGCAAAAGTTTGGAAAGTGTGTGTGTGTGCGTGTGTGTGTGTGTGCGTGTGCGTGTGCGTGTGCGTGTGCGTGTGTGTGTGTGTGTGTTGGGATAAGAGTAGACATCAAAGGTCAAGTGGAGTAGTTGGCTGGGATGTGAATGTTAAGGTGTTTGTGTGTAAAGACTGCGGGGTAGCTTTAAATGGCGGTGCTTATGTGCCTGTTGGCACTCCCTATGTTTTGTATTCATGCATGCTGATGGAAATTCATGTGTTGTGCCGCTCACATTCTGATCAATACAAGTTCTGCCAGCTCAGCTGTCCTTGAGCCCAGCAGCTATTTGTTCATGCCTGACACTCCCATTGTCCATAACTGCTTTAACCTAAGATTAGTCTTGTATTGTCAATAGTCTTTATGTGGTTGTCATTCAGGCTTATAATCTTCCGCTCCATTAAACAGGATCTAATCCTGTACAGAACGAGCAGGGAGAAAGTAACGAAATGTGGAGACAGGGGAAAACAGAGGGCATGAACAAGCAAAGGGAAAGTGGACATTGATTGATGCTCTGTGTTGATGTATCGGTTGCCTCTCTCACCTTTTGCAAAGGTTAGAACAATGTTACCACCAGTCTAAATTTGCAGACATGATTGTTTTCATATGCTTTTTGCTCTAAATCTTTCTTCTAATTATTGTGGGGCAAAATTAAGTAGTTAATCAGTGGTTAAACATTTTCTCTGCAGTCGTGCACATGGTCATTATTTAGCTTCCCTGCTGTTTCTTATGTGTTAGTAGCTACTGAAGAATTTATTGAATTATTTATTTATTTTTCCCAGAAAATAAAGGCAGGCAAAGCTATAATTGGACTAAATGAAAACATAAATCCACCTCTGCTTTCGGTCAGAGTAACAGATGAATTGTTTGGCAGAAATTAAAGATAGCATTAACCAATTTAACCATTACATAGTGATGAGAAATATTTGGCAATTTTTGGCAGCATGGCAACAAAATGAATAAGTATTCATGTTGTCAGGAATATAGCCTACTACAATGTCCTTGAGCAAAACACAGAATCCCCAGCAGGCAGGACTTAAAAATCACCTCTGACCCGACACCTACAGTTAAAACATTCTGCAAGAGCTCTCAACAAACATCTCTTCAACGCAGGTCATACTCAAATAATGAAAGGTCTTTGAAGAACTGCAGAGCGAAAATAAATTGTCACAGGAACTATGTGAACATGAGAATAAGTTTTGTGTCTCAGCTGAATAAACCTCTCGCTGTTTCAAACAGGTAACGAGAATAGTGCTGCTGTGGGTCAACAACCACTTCAATGACTTTGAGGGTGACCCGGCCATGACACGCTTTCTGGAGGACTTTGAGAAACATCTAGAAGTAACAGTAAGTTCAGACTTCAGTCTATACTTAGTTTTTACTTTGTTGTCACTTTTTACCTAGATTTGTTCACACAGTACATTATTCATTATTCATTCTATTGTCTGGTGTTTTGCTCTTTGAATGTCTAGAACAATATATTTTTTCTACCAATATTCATTGTAACCCCAGCAAAATGTCACATCTCTTCTTCAGTTATTACTCTATTTAAACTATTTTAAATAGCGAGATAGCAAGACTCTCCAAAAAAACACTTTCTCCTCTTGTCTTTTCAGAATAGTAGCTCAGATCAAATGATTATTTGTCTTCTCATGCAAAAGAAAACCTTTTTTTTTTTTAAAGCCGCTTTAAGCACTAACCACATGATTACATGTGCAAGTTGTTTTTACACCCAAAACACTCCATTGCACACCTTTGGAGACAAAAGGCAGTTTTAATGCAACACTCCTCAGGCTCATCATTTTCCCATTTCCCCTTCCTCGTCAGAAAATGAAGGGCCATTTGCGTTTGCTGAACATAGCGTGTGCAGCCAAGGCTAAGTGGAGACAGATCACTCTGCAGAAGGCATCCAGGGAGTCACCGCTCTACTTCAGCGTGCAGGGCGGCAGCGAGAGAGGATTCGGCATCTTTGTGGAGTCGGTGGAGGAAGGGAGCAAGGCCGCAGAGGCCGGACTCAAACGGGGAGATCAGGTGAGAGGAAACGATGCAGCATCATATGGTATAAAACAGTGCGGTAGTATATGATGATACATTGCTGTAAATCAGTCCCAAATTAGATGGAACCTTCAGGGCTGTGCATCCAAACACCACCCAGATGAATGTGGAATATATTGGAATAATTTATGTGAAACACAGACCGTGGACATGTTTCAACTAAATTACTGGATACAGTTGGAAAAATATGTACCCTTCAGTCATAGTATGTAATGTGCTAAGCAGCAGAACTTGAGATGCATGTTTATGTTTGATGTCTAGAGTTGAGTCATCTTCACAACTGAAGTGCAGATCTTTAATCACTTTTTGGGTTGTAAAGTCTCATGATCTGACCTGTCCTGCGGGCACAAAGTCAGCAGTCTTATTCTCAGCATCTGATGCGACAGTGTGGTTAAACTCAATACACTTGCACATGCACGTGCATATGCTGATTATCCATCTTCAGATCTATGGGAGGATTTTATGTACGCACAAGCCCATAAATGTGTAACATGTTTAGACATTTCTGCAATTTTATTAAACCTATATCTTATAATATCACTCCAACTTGAGCATCAATTTGTGTTTACTTGATCATCCATGAGGTGGCAAATTCGCAAGACACACACCTGCCACTGTGACCAAAAAACAGTGAATTTGGTGAAAGATTCTTTGGTGTGATGATACAAAAAATTGCAAAGCTCTGCCTCAACAGTAGGAAAACCAGGTATCCTTTAGGTAACCTGGCTGACACCATCCCCACTGTGAGGCATGGTGTTGATGATACCCTGCAGTACTTTTTTGCAGCAGGAACTTGGAGAATGGTCACTATTTACAGAATGGAAAAAAGAACCAAATACAGTAAATGGGAGGTTCTTAAAGATGACCTGCTTTCATTCAGCAGCTCAGCCGGGTGTTGAAGCTTGAACTGCACTAAAAAAAACTTTCAGAAGAGCACAGTTCATTAATGCACTCCATAAACTCTGCTGCAGCTTGAGGGGAACTGTAATGAGCTATTTGAACATGACATGTACATCCAACTACCAAGTTTTGTCCGGGGGTAAGGTGAAGTGTTGATCGAAAAACCATCATGACTGTCCTCAAAACATGGGATCCTGGAACTTTTTTTGTTCCCATCTATTGCCTTAGTTCAAATTCTTGTTCTTATGCGGAACTGTTGTGTGTTATCTTGATCAGGGACTCTTCACTCTTGATGTTGTTGACGGGCAAACAGTTAATGATATAAATTATAAATGATCGCCACAGTATACTTTACGTTCCTTCCCTAAAGTATTTGATGCCAGTCAAATGCTTTCCTATTTATGATTCAAAAAATCGTATTTTGTCTCATACAGGAAACATTCTGCCTGACTGCTTCTTTTTTTGTATGTTAATTAGTGCAAACTACAGATTCATCGCTTCTAAAGGTGATGTGAAAAGATAGTTCGTCAAATCATGCTTGCCAATACTCCCACTGCTCTGCATACTTCCCTTTTTGTGTTATTTAGAGAGGACAGGATCCACATTGTTCACTATTTGCAGTTACTTACGGCTTACAAATTTGCTGAGTACAGAAACTCAATGTCATGACAGCAAACCAGAATATAAATGATGTATTTCGGATTTCAGGCAGGGATCATCTACAAGTTTGTTGTTTTAGGGGGGTTTTATTGTTCTCATAAAGTCAAGTGATTCAGTCCTTCTATAATTTTGTCATAACCACTTGCTTGTTTCAGATCATGGAGATCAATGGTCAGAACTTTGAGAACATCTCCTTCTCCAAAGCCTTTGACATCCTGAGAAACAACACACACCTCTCCCTCACAGTCAAAACCAACATATTCGGTGAGTGACGTCAGAGTATTTGTACTCGCATACTAATGTACAGAGAGCAATACCCGCTGTAATATCAGTGCTAATCATTTGAGATTTGAGACCAATCCTCCTCTCTCTGTACCTCTGTCCATCTAGTCTTTAAAGAGCTCCTCAGCAGGATTGTGCATGAGAAGAAAAATGGCGGCCCACACATTCCCAAGATCCAGGAGAAAAAAGGCAATCGCTTCTCCATCCCTGACCTTCCTGGAGACATGGAGTTCCCTACAGACCACAAGAGCACCAGGAAAATGAAGGCCAACACTGTGTCAGGAGGACGCAACAAGATCAGGAAGATGCTGGAAAAGACGCGCTTCAGCATACTGCCACCCAAGCCATTCAGGTAAGAGGCTTTATGTAAACATTGATGCCTGTATCATCACAGGCAGTGCTTGAGTAAAGTGGATTAAAAGTAATATGGATTTTTTAAATTATGTCCAAACAAGCATTTGTGAGAGATGGACATTAAATGGTGAAGTCAAACAAAGCATCATTAAATGTATGTTACTGATCAGATGTGACATGTGGGTCGCAGCTAAAACTTCATGCCCACATACATCACAGAATTTTGAAGAAAATTTGAAATGGTCAGATAATGAGCCATAAACACAATATGGCGAGAGATTCATAAGAGAGCTTTAAAAGATGAGTAATGTGAGTTCAAGTGGATTTACACTCTACTTTATGCCTGAATCTGAGACCTCCTCAATGAAAACCACTTTAAAGCGAGTTGGCCGGGCCACAATCCCGTCTACTGTCTCTGCATCGGTATTGTAGCAAGCTGTGACCATCTGCAGACAGGAAATATTGGAGGCGTGAGCAGAAATCTAAGCTTCTAGCTCTCTGACTGAGCTGAACTGCTTATTGCATCCCACAAAGTGACTGAGAAACACATTTCAGCCTTCTCTCATGGCTTGCATGAGCAGGAAATGGAACAATTTCACCCAACTCTATCTATAATGCGTACCTACATTTTTTGGGTAGTACACAGTAATATGCAAGTGCATCCCATTTCAAGCTCTGGTTGCAGGAGCGTTGCTCTGAAAATGTGGCACTTACTTTTGCACTTTCTTACTTACTGGTTTAGTGCGATGCAGTACTCTTTCACTATCTTCATCTTCAGGTTCCAGCCAAATCACAAAAATGTAAAAGGCAGTATCATCATCATCATCATCATCATCATGTAACCATTGTTGTTGTCATCCATAACTAGCCATTGTACTTGCAGCATCTGGAGCAATTGAAAGCAATCGTGCAGATAGAGGCTCGCATTCAATATTCCACCCGTAACGTGCTGATACAGGCTTGATTTCATTTCATCATTTCACGCCTCTCCAGGCCTCATTAAACTCCATACTGTGTCAGTGCTGGGGAGAAAAGATGCTGTTCTCGCCCTGTCAATTACACAGCTAACTCACGCACTGTAAACCCACACACACACTTACGCAGACACTGTCAGGCACATCTACGTCCCCTTACTGCAGCACTGCAGCGATTATGTCCACAAAGCCACACAGTTTGCATTAAAACTGATTGTGCTCTGTCTCATAACGCAATACGCCATCACGCGGCCATTGATCTAACTTAGTGCACAGCTTCTAAATGCTCTCCGCTGCGTTCTATTTATTGACCAAACAAGAGCTTTCATTGCTTTTATTTTGCTAGTTGGCACCATTGAAACAGTTCTTTGATTCAAAGAAATTGATGGCTGATTAAAAGGACTGGAGATGAGATGGGAGATTCAGGTCAATCTGGATTCATCAGTGCCTGTTGTAGGATGAAAATTTGAGGGGAGGTAATGTTGTAAAGTTGCCCACTGCATGTGTGAGTGTGTGCACGTGTGTGTGCAAAAGGTACAGGCTGTTCTGAGGACAGCATAATTTAAGATACCATGCAGTTTTCTGTACGCCCACACACACACACACACACACACACAGACACACACACACAACACACACACACACACACACACACACACACACACACACACACACACACACACATAAACACAAACGGGACTCGCTGTCATTTTAAGGACAGATGCAACCTGTGACCACTGTTGCTATGGTACAGTCTCTCTCTCACAAAGGCAACTTTTTTCAATGCTTTTGCTCACTTCTTAAATTCTGCCATCACCTGGCAACTTAAATTAAATAACCTTGTTTAACAGTTTAAATTGATGCCTTTTCACAACTTACGCACGTACACAAACCCACTGCCTCTGCTGCTGCAATTTCTTCCCTTGGTCGACATTGTGCTCCACTTCAGACCAGGATTTTATATGACAAGGACACGCTGGCTATAAACAAGTCGTTTTTCTGCCAAATTAAGATGTCAGGGCCTGTGTGCATCCACATTTACACACATCCCATATTGACTAACCCGGGTGATTTACATTCCACAGATTGGAAAGCAATAGACAGAGGTATTAGCCTGTAGTCAGTTTGTCTCAGAAGTCGAGGTGATTTAGTGAGATGATGATAAAACAGTAACCTCATGTCCCATAATGCCATTTTCATCCTCTGCACTTCTTTGTGACACAGTCACATGTACTAAACCTTGATGCATATCACAATAACTATTAGGTGGTTAAGTGTTTTTGCATCTCAGCATTCACTCAACAAGACAACCATATTTGGCTCCATGCTCACTGCACTACTGCTGCACTGCTGCTCCACTTGCAAGAAGAATTGTTTAGGAAATTATTACTCTGGTACAGGTGTTGACTTAACTAGACAGTAGGTAGAAATAGAAAGCAGCTCTGTCTATATTCATAAAAATAGGTTGTTGTTTCATCACTGGGGGAGGATTATTTGGGTGGAAGAGCAACAAACAAACCATCAACATATTGCTGAAAGCAGCATTGTATTGAAGCTTATTCCATGTTTACATCAGACCTCCAGTTTGAGAGGCGACACATCTGTCACAAAAACCTGTCAGACCTGCAGGAGGGGACAGAGTGAGGGACTTTATCAAGCTTTCACTGCCTCTGATATTACAAGGAAAAATAAAAAGCTCACTGAGACAGGAAGCCTGTTCACTATGAGAGGGTGTTGATGAGATGAGAGAGAGAGCTGCTGAACTGAATGTACAGTCGGGGGTTGCGCTCCTGTGGCTGATCTGACTCTTTATTATTATGTGCTGTTTTGTAGGCGATTCCTATTCAGCTGCATTTACATTTGTCTAGATGATATTGTTAAATGAATAGAAGGAGCAAAAAGAGAGACCAGTTTCAGATCAGCTCCCACACCACTGACCAGTTCAACAAGTTTTCATAAGAGTTCTTCTTTTTTTTAATATTGAGCTTTTTAAATTGTAACCAAATGTAATTGGAGCTGCAATTTTTACCCATTTAAATAGTTGGTTGATTGACAAACTGCTTTTTGACATTTGAAATAAATTTGTCAGACATTTTACAGACCAAACGATTAATCAAAAAATAACTGGCAGATTAATCGATAAAGACAGTAATTGTTAGTTGCAGCTCTAAAGGCAATATTATTCTTTTTTCAATTTGCATAAAAATCAATAATTTCACCTAAATCTGCTCAGTCTGCTCTCCAACATTTAAGACACTTTGTCTTTCTTAAAAACTTCCTCATTAACATTTTCTATGTAGCAGTGCTCGGTAGTCCTGATGTGCTTCCTCCTACTAGATGACAAATCATTTTGTGTATTTTTTCTGAATGAAGTCAAACGGTTGCAGTGGATTTCCTCACTTATCCTGCAATTTCCTGTCATATGTTGTGTATAAATCTATGCTGGTGTTGTGAAAATGCAGTGTGTCCAAACTTTAACTGTTGTGTACTCCTACATGTGTGTGTTGTTTTTAAGTGTGTGCAAGAAGAGGAGGCCTTGTCTTTCATGCATAGGCTTTGTCGCTCTGCTGATCGCTGAATCACTTCACCAGAGCTCTGCTTCTGTTTTTTTTTTTTTTCTTTTTCTTTTCAATGTTGTCTCTCTCCCGTTTGTCTCTGCTGCTTCAGGGGCCTGTTTGGGTAAGACCTCTTGTGTAACTCCCCATCCTCCAACCATTTGATTCAGTATCCATCTGCAGATGTGCACAACACAACAGGCAACAAACACACACACACACACACGCACACACACCACACACTCATACACTTACCAGCTCCACTGACCTTCAACAAAATGATTAGAGGACTGAATTTGAATTTCCTTCTCTTCAATTTTTTCATCCAAACTCCAATTAAATATACATTCACCACTTCTCTCAGGACTTGGCCTGAGAAGTTATTCAGCCAAATGTATTCTGCAGGGATGTTGCAGAAAATATCCCAAGGCCTTAGTTTATTACACTAAATAGGAAAGAGGAGTGTTATTGCTACAGATGGTTTTAGTTTCTTGATGTTTAACTGTCAGCACTCCTGGCACACCTGGCCTCTCAGTAAATCAGGTGAATACCTGCATGCATAAGTTATCTTTTATGCTTTTCCAAAGCTACACATCTTGTCTTTGTCATATTTACTGGCGTCATATTCAGTTAACTAATAAATCTTAAAAACTTTATCATAACTAACTCATACTGAAGTCAATTGGACTGTGATGAGGTGTCATTTGGTCCCTGCCTTGACCCCCATTGTTGCAAATGTGAATATGATTAAACTTGTGATACAGTGAGGAGCTAACAGTGCCGGTCTAGTCCTATTTGAGCCCCATGCTATCTGTATCAGGCTCGATTTCACCATTATCCTCTTTCTAAGTCTTCTTTGTCCGTCTCTCCTCCGTTTTGCACCACCCTGCACATTATTTAATCGATTCTGAACATTATTCTTTCCTTTTTTCTTCTATTCATCATCTGTCCGTGACTCTTTGTATCATCCTTCAATCTTTTTTTCCACCTTTCTCTCTCTCTGAGAGAGAGAAAGTCTCCCTTCTCTTTCTTTCATCTTGCCGGCACAGTACCTGTCGACCGGTGACTCAAAGATTACAGAGGGTTTGCTACAGCAGCACACAGCTGTGTTAGTGGAAGCTCTGCATTACTGCACCATGTTCAGTACATATTGTACAGACACACACACCTAGAGGGAAGCTGAAATAAGTATGCAGGCAGGGTGAGATGAACTCTCCGTCTCAGATACTCCATTACAGACTGTGACTACAGCTCCAACAATTCATACGTACATATTTAACTGTGTGCAATGTGTATTTAACATCAATGTTCTTATTATGTGTTTATAATCTGAAATGCTAGCCATCTTTAAATTGATAAAGTTAATTCTAGCTGCCGTGTAAGCTCCTAAAAGTTTTAGATTAGCAAAAGCTGCCACAGTTGTCAAGCACGAAGGCGTTATCCAACCTTCAATCAGCCGCATTTATCATCGGAGGCAGGGCTATTGACTCTGTGGGTTTGTCTCAAAAGAGTTGCCATTTCCACCACATGTATGCAGTATTCAGGCATTCTAATTAGGCCATTAATATAAAGGTTGATGTTTGCATTTCCCCAAGCGGGGCCGAGGAGCCAGGTAGAAAGACTCCTGTCTGTCAAGTCCAGTTTAGCCTCATAATGTGGCCAACAGCCGGACACACACATATGAGAACAAAAAAGGGAGACATGCTAACACACACAGATGTATGCAGAAGCTAAGAGCAGGGACACATTGTACAAAAGTACAAATAAAAACACCTGAGTTCTGGGAAAACATCTGAATGAGCTGAAATACTCATGACTTGATCGTTTCTTTTCATATGTGCTCATCTGTTTGCAATGTCTGTGTCTGTTTGCTTGTGTATACCAGTCCCATTGTCTCGTGTCGTGTGTGTGTGTGTGTGTGTTTGTTTGGTGAACTTGTGTGTCTCTATCTGTGAATGCTCCTTATCAGTTACAGCCATTCATGAAACCGCCTCAGATGAATTTCAGCTGTGTCACTGCTGCATATTAAAAGAAATATATAGTGATATTGATATATTGTGTTGCTATTCTGCAAGAGTAGACATTTCGATCAAATCTTGTGATATGTTTTTTTTCTGCAGTGTTATGAGTTGGGATTTTAATATGTTCTCCAGATGAAGGGAAAGGGAAATACACTCACTCTAATACCTGTGCTTAAAACTCATAAAACAAGAGGGAGAAAAAACATTCGGGAGCTTTTTTGAAAAATGTCTACTGCTGCAAAATAAAAGCTTAAAAGTTCATTTTAGAACATTAAGTTCATCTTTGATGGAGAAAATCTAATTTTCCTGTTCATCTCTCTCTCTCTCCCTCATAATGTCACACCCTTTTTCTTTTAAAACCATCCCTCTTCTTCCCCTCCCCGTCCCTCGTCTCCCTACCGTCCCTGCTTTCCTCTCCAGTGATGGTGGCATGGGTCAGTCTCAGGACGACAGCATTGTGGGTACCAAACAGTGTCGTCACAGTGTGGCCATCATGCCCATCCCCGGCAACCTGTCGTCCAGCAGCCCCGACCTGCTGCAGCCGGCCACCAGCGTCCTCGACTTCTCCAACCCCGCAGGTAAGAAAGCAATGTTGACTCTTCTTCTTCGGTTGTTTCTTTCTGCTTGTGGAGCTTTCAAACATTAACAACGAGAATGTCACCTACCCTGAGGAATGTTTCGTTAATTATTTTCCATGATACACTGATTGGCCAAAGGGAGCCACTAGATTTAATGGTCAACTTAAAGGATAATTCCAGTTTATCACAATTTATTGTTGCAGTTTGGGACCATTTTCATCAGTAATGGCGCTTCAGTCTTGCAAAAATCTTTTCCTATTAGTTGCATTCTTCTTACTAAATGAATTTGATGGTTAGTTGGTTAATCTTTTTGAATACTTCAAAGGGTCAAACCAAAGCACAATTTGTGCAAACAAATTTCTTGTTCCAAAGTACTGCAGGAAAGACAATCTCAAAGCATCAAAAATACCATTGCTTGATTCATATTCATGTAAGAAACAACTGCACATACTATGGCTGGAATGGAAACAAAACCTTCATTACACCTATTGGCAGTTGCTCATGACCTTCATGGCCTCAGCCATCACTGAGCATTTCAGGTGTCAAACAGTTCAGCACTGCTCTCATGAAGCAGTTTGTCACATTTGATTCGAGACTTCAGCTTCGTTGAGCGATGAAAGCCACTTGTGGACTGAAGGTCTCCAGTGCTCAGTGAGTACTGGGAGACGCTGAACAGACAACCTGTCGCCCATGCAGGAACTGTATGTGTTGGATGCGCTGGGCTGTCTGGAACACAGACTCGCAGTCTACTAGGAACACTAGGAAAAAGGAACATACATTCACTCACTCAAAGCAAGCAACAGGAAGGTTTCAGCATTGGTGTACCCACCTTTCATTCAAACACACGGACACACACACCCTGGGGTCGTTCTTTTTGAAGTGCCACAGAGCTGCTGCAGAATTGTGTCCGTCTGACAAGAATTAACCTCCTGGACTATAGGACTTATTTATTCCTTTCCTGTCAGACGGGTTTCTGAGCCCATAATTATTTAAACTAACATGGAGCATACCCTGTGCCTTTTTATGTGTGTGTGCGTGTGTGTGCGTGTGTGTGCGTGTGTGTGCGTGTGTGTGCGTGTGCGTGTGTGTGTGGGAATGAAAGACTGAGTGAGGGGAGAAAGTGGAAAGGTGAAATATGCGAATATGGCCCTGATTTATTCCACCACCCATTTGTCATTAAGGTCCACACACTCAGAGAGACACACACACATGCACACACCTCCCTAGTTTGTAGATCTATACATCATTGTACGAGAGAACAAACGCACACACCAACTGGGCCTCATCAATCACCCGCCATTATATCAAGTTTCCTTTAGTATTCTGGCCTCCAATTAGATTCAATAGGAGAGGATAGAACAGCCTGCTCAAACAAAACCCCCTTATCCAGGTGCTCTATAGGGCTTATAATACCTCCAAAGTCCTACCCCGAATTACATTAGCAGATCAGAGGAAGCTCAGATGCATCAATATCACCTTTCCACTGTCTAAACTGGGAAGTATGAGCTGAACATGGCTGCCAATGTTTTTGGGTATTTAAAAGCCTTGATATGTCAGTCTCATTCATTTATTTTATTGGATTGGCTTTAGTTCTTGTTTTAAAGTTTCTGACTATTAGATTTTGTAATTACATAATTGTTTGATTCTGATTGTATGTTGTTTGTCTGTAACTCATTCCTACTACTGCCTATCTTAGTCAGGACCTCCTTGGAAAAGAGATTTTCCATCTGAACGTGGCTTTCATGGTTAAAAACAAAGTTAATAAAAAGATACTATTGTTAAGTATTAATGATATAGTCGCACTTTACTCGTCGATATTACTGATTTTATTCACTAAAGTCTTGTTCACACCACATAAAGATAAACAAAACATACAACAGGGAAAAATGAATGTTAGAACAAAAAAATAAATCAAAGACAAGCAAGCAAGAGTGTCAAAAGCTTTGATGGCACACCTTTAAGGTCTCATAAACCAAATAATGAATCAATTCATAGAAAAAAACTATTGATAATGATGACAAAGATAGTGATCATTTGCAGCCCTAATTTTGACCAGATATTTGCCTAACACATGACGCTCATGATGGTAGTAGTACATCTCTGCTTCAATCAACAGAAGCTGAATGACTCAGAGAAATGGAGCATGGATGTTAATGCTGCATTGCTCTTTTTATTTCTTAGAGACAGAGATGGACTAGAGAAGGGCTTTCATGTGTTGTGTGTTGCAAAGTGGGAAACCAGTTTTTGCATCTTCTCATATGTGTTGTTCTGAGTAAAGCCGCACTCTTAGATCTTTTGCCTCTCTATGTCTTCATTTCTTTTTTCCTCCTCTACCATCTCTCCAGTCCTTTTCTCTCTCTCCTGTTGCGTCTCTCTTGCTGTGATTTTAAACAGATGTTCTAGTGTTGAGATGATGAGTCATACGCCCCTCTGGTTTCCCATGAACAGATTAAGGCTACACTAGAAACTCCTCTGGTCTTTCCTCCTTTTTCTGTCATGATGTTTCCGACCACTATGTCTCTTTGTACTCCTCCCACACTCTCTCTTACTCTCATATTCACTGTGTTTTCTCTTTTTCCTCTCTGCTTGCCAAGCCCTGGGACTGTACTGTAAGTATAAATACCTTCAGTGCCACTGTTTGATTGTGCTTCAGTAAATATTCCTCCCAAATGCTCCCTCCAACGTCTTTTTCTTTTTTTTCCCCTCACTCCATTTTGCATCTCTGCATCCATGAACTGCTTCCTTCAAGCTCTGAGTTTTGGCCTTGTAGTGTGTTTACACTTTTTCCACTTGTAAGTTTGTCCTTTTCAGACAGAATTGTATGAGTGTCAGAGTAAGGACATTTTGGTCGGTTTTCACTTTTTAAGGTGCTATCTTAAAAAAGCAGAAGTAACCTTGTTTGCCATTTGCACTTAAATAAGGGTGTGATTTGCTTCACTCTACAAAACTTTTCAACTTTTCATTTATAAGAGGAAGACTGGGTGTTATTTCCCTTCGAAATCTGCATAGTCTCACTTACATAAACCTTAGGCCAGGCGTTCAAGAGTGAACTTACATGAAGACACATAATGGAGTATGCCATAGAGTCTTGGGTTTTTCCTTTTTATGTTTATTTATCACAGCCCTGGTGTTTAACCCTCAGCTATTCTATACCACTCTCCTCTGAACACGTCAAGCCGTCATGCTCTGCCCTCCTCCACTCTGTTGGCTTTCATTTGTGATTTATGTCTTCCGACTGTGTGATGGAGTGACTGGGAAAAGCTTTGACAAACAGTGGTAAGGAGGAGGAGGAGACTGAGGCTTGTAGCCACTCTTAGTGCTGTGTTTGCAAAATCCCAAGACTTTTTTTCCCTGTGTACAAATCCTCTTTGGCTTCAGTTCATAAATACATTCTCTGGTGTTGATGAAAATGAATGATACCTTATTAAGGATGATTGGGTGGGGGTGATTGTCCTCCTGTGTGCAGGTCAGGTCGCAGCTCGTCCAGAGGATTAAACATGATTAAGCCCCCCCAGATATGATAGCCAGCTATTTAGCCGAAAGCTTCCCACACTCTGATCACAAATCACAGCTAATGAGACACAAAGCATTTAGCTTCCACTCAGCCCACCCTCACCACCCTGATGCACATAAACAAAGAGGAGCTCTGCTGCTGCAGCAACACTGAACACAAAGACAGAAAGCTGCACACTTAAAACTCTGATGTAGTCCTTGTATTTTTCATGTTTCTGTAGATATCACCTTCAGTGATCATTTGACTGTCATATTAAGCACATATGTCATGTGTTTCAAATCAATAAGCTCACAGTCTATAAAGAGGTCATTCATCACCAGGAAAGGCTGCCAATATGTCCACATTCTAGGAACCAGTAACTATGAACCAGAAAAAAGCTGAGTAAAAATCAGTCATTACCTTGGGAGGCTTTCAAATCAAGCAATAAGTTGATGAAAGACTAGAATAGATATACTGTATAGTAATATTAAAGCTCATGTAAATGTAGAGAAATCTTGATTATGAGTAAGTAAATGTGATAAAGATGATAATAAAGGAGCCCCAGCTATTGTCAACACACGCACACACTGTCACAGACAGATCAGAGATCCGTGTGAATAAGGGTGAAGGTAATGTGTCTGAGCATGCTGAACCCTTTTCTGTGTGTGTGTGCGTGTGCGTGTGTGTGTGTGTGTGTGTGTGTGTGTGTGTGTGTGTGTGTGTGTGTGTGTGTGTGCAACTGCTTGAATAAACTCATTCAAACACACATTTTTTTTTTTTTTCCATATGCCACCTTTTCTTCATGATCTCCCTCTGTGTTCAGTATATATGATTGTACTCAAACACACACACACACACACACGCACACACACGCACATTGCAGCTGTATGACAGCTTCATCTGGTCTGTCGGAGTCCCTCTCCACTTGTCACCGTGCAGTGTTCATAACTCACTGTTTTAAAGCTCTTTGGCTGCCTGTGGCTAATGGGCCGTACCCTCTTCCTTACTCAAACACAGGATCTTTAATGCAATATTTCACTCAGGGGGAACATTTCCATTATTTAACACACATCTCTCTTTGAGAGTCGCGTGCATCTGCTACAGCATCGGCTGCCCCAGGAATTGATATACTGCATATCTATATAACCTGTCATGCAGCTGCAATGTGCCTCTATGTGTGTATGTGTGTTTGTGTGCTTTATGTGGTTATATATACACATACCGTTTCATCACCGCTAACATCCAAGCTTTTATTTTGGCCTCCTGCTATTGATTATTGTCTATCAATTAAACAATAATACACTATGTCGACTAAAAAACAAGACTCATTGTGGGAGATGATGCAGTTTTTTTTGTTTTTATGAATTATTCATTTCTTGTATTCATAGCATTTAAATGGTATATTATATGATGCAGTTCATTAAATGATTTAGCTTTAAGTGATAATTAAATGATAATTAAATGCAGAAATTGTCTTTTAATTTAACACGTACATCTCCAGGTCTTTCAGAATCTCAAATGACCTTGTGTGGATGGCTTTTATTTTATTCAGTACAAGCTTTTCCTATAATGCCATGTGATAGGAATACTTTGGCCAGTGGACAATTCCTTTTGTGCTCGCATGGTCCCTACAATCTTTCCTTGTTCTTCCTGGTTGCATGTGTCTTTATCTTGATGAATAACCTGTGTCAGTTGCAATATTTGTTTTTAACGCACAGTATAAGAACAAGGACAGTCTGTGTTTTTTTGTGTATGTCTTCAATGCTGTAGAGGCCTGTGACATAACAGCCACTAACATAAAAAGTACAAATACTGTTAATTTCACTAAATGTAAGCATGTAGAGAGATGTTGCAGTTGGAAGACAAAAATCTTTATAGCCAAGTCCATGAGATATTTGACTTTTACATAAAGATGGACTGACCACAAAGCTGGAAAGAAGGTGAAACAAGGTGTTGTGATGTGTTTGAACAGTAGGATGATTCAATAATGTCATTAGTAAATGTAAATAGCTGTATAAGTTGAATTTCATTTTAAATTTAGGTTACTGTTCCACCAGAAACTGTTTTTGCCTTAATAATGAAAGACAAAAATAATTGTAAAAAAAATCTTATTTTGCCACTTCATTATATTATGTTTATTTGCATTATCAGCTTTTGTTACAGTTTTGGCATCAACTCTAATCAGTCACTGACAGCTCTCCTCTTTCCCTTCTCTGCACTCTCAGACATCCCAGACCAGGTGATTCGGGTGTTCAAGGCCGACCAGCAGAGCTGCTACATCATCATCAGTAAGGACACTACTGCCAAGGATGTGGTCACCCACACTGTCAATGAGTTTGGGCTCCTCGCAGCACCCGAGACCTACTCCCTGTGTGAGGTATCAGTTAGTCCAGAGGGAGTCATAAAACAGCGCCGCCTGCCCGACCAGCTCTCCAAACTGGCTGATCGGATCCAGCTCAACGGCAGGTAAGAAGCAAAAGAATTACACTGATGTCCATTGAGATATTTTGAAAAATATAACTCTGAGGACTTAAACAAGCAGTTGACTTTACCGTTCATCAGAAAGTATTTTTAATTTAACGCACATGAATTAGTCTTTAAGAGTGGTTGTCAGCTTTTTCTCCAAAGTGAGCCCATATGTGGCAGACATGAGAGTGTTTCTGTCTTTGCAACTGAAAGTGAATGAGGCAACAGACAAGGATACTTTCATAAACCAGGAAGCAACAATATTTCATGGTCAGGGAAGCACATTGGTCATGGAAAAGAGGCATGGATACTTACTTACATCTGATCCACAGTGGGAATCGTTGACAGAAAGCAGCTGGAAGTGGAACACAGTATTTGAGAGTTTACATACTGTAGACCTGTATTGTGATGAAGGCTTGAATGACGAAACCAAAGAGATAACCCACAGGACTTTGAACCTCATTAGAGTTTTTTTCAGTTTCTTTTACAGATTATTTTTGGGTTGGTGAGCTTTATTCTTTAAATAGATTTCCAGTCTTGAACTGTGTAAAAATTTCATCCTGCCAACACAGCAGCTCCAGACTTCACACCATACCAAGTTTGACTTTAGCTCTACTAGAAAGTTGATCATGTACTACAGTGCATGTATATTGATATAATTCTCTTCGAGCAGTGGTTCAATCCTGTTCCTGGAGATACAGGATGTAGTTCTGTGATGTAGTTAATTCACTTACTGTAGCTTTGCAGAGGTGATAATCATTTCCTGAGTAAATGGCTCGGGGAGAGAAAAAAAAAAACCCAGCAGGGCTCCAGGTCCTGAGGAACAGGATTCAGAATCACTGTCCTAGTTCAGTGGAATGATAAATCAAGTCGTGCTACCCCTTGAAAGTGCTGGGAAACATTTTTAGTTAGTTTCTACTCTGAGCAGAACGCAAGCTGAACAAAACATCAGTTTATAGTTCAGTGTGATGCTGCATATGAGGGTCAGAGATTCTGGATTTTTTTTTTTTTTTTTTTCTGCACCAACAGCGTCTGTTTCCACTTTGTTGTGGACACAACTAAGGAGCTTGAACATCACTTAGGTGGACACAGCCTTTGTGTGATGATGTGTGTGTTTAATTTTCTCGCACCAAAACATTGCCACTACGTGTTTTGTTAGATGTCTCTCAGTTTGTTGTTGTCTTTTTGATGCCGGAAGCATTCCCTTTTAAGATGAAAGTTAGTAGGACATGAAGGATAATTGGACAGCAGCCCTGAAGTCTGCTTTAAAACGACTTCTCCATCAGTTTCTCACAGTTTCCTCCCTCTCTCCTTGCCTCCTGTGGTCGCTCATCCATCCCCTCCCAACTAGGTTAGCATAAATATTTCACCCTCTGTCAGGGGCGGAGGCCTCAGCAGACAGCACGGCACGTCTGGAATTATTCATACACACGCTCACGTGCGCACACAGGCATAGATACAGACGGTCGCCTCCTTATACACAGTCACGCATCTGTGTACATATAGACACACCTATGCTGTGTTTACACAGGCGCACGAATTCATATTCATTGATTTTATGTAGATGTGTGTGTGTGTGTACATCTATACGCACACGTTTTTACCGAGGAAGTCTCAAACGTGTGTGGACACAGTCACACACATTCAGAGACACATTCACTCACTTAGAAGACACTTGTGGTAACACCCTGCCTGTGTTCCTGATGGATGGCTGAGCCGCAGGGAAAAAACCTGCCATACTGTTAGATATTGGTAGGAAAAAGGTTGGTTTAAGTGTAGAGCTATGAACAAGCAACACCTATAGATAGTTCCACTCTCTAATACATATTTTCTCAACTTTTTTCTTTTCTTTATACATATCCTCTGCTACGTATTATTTATGACAAACTAAAGCATTTGCCTTGACAATCCACTGTCATGCTGGCAGTATTTTTTACATACATATATATACATTGTGCAGTGTCAGCAGGATGTACATGTAGTATGTATTCAGCACAGTTGGCAGTAGTTGTATTTATCAGGAGCAGTAGGCAAATATATCTCTGCTGTGCTTCTCTCCATGCATCTCACCCAGCCTGTCTCTCCCTCTATGCAGCTGATGACAGAGGGTCGAGCAGGGGGCAGGAGAAGCCAATAGCAAGCCTTCTCCACACTGCCACAATACATATAGATATGCAGCTAGGGGATCCTAAGCTCAGCACACACCCACAAACCACCAATGGCTATTTAGAATGGCTTGGTTCCAGTGATTTTGCACTGCCAAGATCTACTTAGCACCACTTTGTCCATCATTAATTTAATCTCTCCCCTTTCTTCTCTCCTCTCCTCTCCTCTCCTCTCCTCTCCTCTCCTCTCCGCTCCTCTCCTCTCGACTTCTCTCTTCCTGTTTTGCTAAAGTTGCAGTAGTGTCTTTTTATTTCCTTCTTTCTATCTTTAATCTGTTGGCACCTACAGATTATACTATACTATATTATACTATAAATACAGGCCTTTAAGTCTCTAGTTCTGCTTATCAGCTCTCAAAAAGGTTGCTTCTTTCTGAATGAGAAACACATCTTGTGCTTTATCCTAAATATAAATTCAGCATGATTTTTCTCACCTCACCTCCTGACATCTCCTCCTGTTAGCTGCTCTTCTCCCCACCAGCTCTTCTGGCAGAGTAACAAAGGGCAATTTAGAGTCGCATCCATGCCAACACTTTGCCTCCTGTGGGTTGCAGGTCTATACTTCTCTGAGGTGCTTCATTCTTAGATGACCACCTTACTGCTCCATTAGAGTGGGGATGGGAGGTGGGGTGCGGGGTGGGGGTGGGGGTGGGGTCCAGATTTATAAACATAGAAGCACATAATAACGTAAACGAGATGGTCTGCTGCTGGAAGCTCTCCCAGAAACCTGTTGGAGATCAGGCCTAAAGAGAAATGCCCCCCCCCCCTCATTCATGTACCTGTCATCTTTCTTATCTCTCTTTTGCTGTGAGAGGCTCTCTCTACTCTCACCGTCTCTCTGCCTCTTTACACCAAACTAAAATATGGCTGTTAACCATCAGTACCATCAGAGTATACTCTCCTTTTCTCGAAACTCAATCTTAAATTGGAGACACGAAGTGTGGCCATTGTAAAATGAAATGTGAATGAGATGAGCGTTTCAAGAGATTTATATGGGCTTTTTTTTTGTGCACAAAGTTGCAGCTGGCTGAAAAACTGTATCTTGTCCGCCCACTTGTCTGCCTCTGCAGCCTATATGAAAGCATCTGAGGATACTGCAGATCTATTATCTTCTTTCATTTTCCAGTTCTAAAAATAGACTTTTTACCAACACAGAAATGATGTCAGTGATATCACTCAGACTATTTTGCATAGCCTCTACTCTTTGTAATTATTGCGGTTAATCCCCCCTCCATTCTTTAGACTCAAAGGCTAGACATGATAATTCCTCCTCTCTTTTTGTTGTTTTTTTGCAGGATTTCTTTCACTCAAGGGGTTTCTCAAATCATT